TTGTTGGTAACAGATGTGACCATAACAATGTAAGAAGCTTCCAAGAGGATTTGGGACATATTTATATGTGTTAAAGCAGAAACTGAACAAATAACTTCTGAGCATAGCATAAAAGAGAAAAACAAGAACAAAAGATGGTCAAACTGTTGGTCTAAAAAGAACAACAGTGTTTAGTCATTGTCCTAGTTTTATTGTCAACTGGACACAGCCACAGTGAGAGTCATCTGAGAAGAGGGAACTTTGAGGAATCACCTCCAGCACACTGGCCTATGGGCATGTCTACTGTGGTGATATTGTGTTCCCCAAAATATTGTGCACCCTAATAAACTTATCTGGGTCAGAGAACAGAACAGCAACAGAGGCTAGAAAATGGTGGCACACACGCCTTTAATCCTAACATTCCAAAGGCAGAGATCTACCTGGATCTCTGTGTGTTCAAGGATACAGCCAAGCATGGTGACTCACACCTTTAATACCAGAAAGTGAACCTTTAATCCCAGGGAGTGACGGCAGAAAGCAGAAAGGTATATGAGGCATGAAGACCAGAAACTAGAGCTTTTAGCTGGTTAAGCTTTCAGGCTTTGAGCAGCACAGTTTCAGCTGAGATCCATTTGGATGAGGACTCAGAAGCTTCCAGTCTGAGGAAACAGGACAGGCTGAGAAATCAGCAAGGTGAGGTTAGCTGTGGCTTGTTCTGTTTCTCTGATCTTCCAGCATTCACCCAATATCTGGCTCTGGGTTTGATTGTATTAATAAGACCTTTGAAGATTCATGCTACATCTGGCGCCCAACATGGGGCATGAACCCATGACCCTGAGATTAAGAGTCTCATGCTCTACTGTATGAAATATTTTCTTGATTGATCATTGCTATGAGAGGACCCAGCCTGCTGTAGGCATCACCAGCTCCATGTAGGGGGCCTGGAAACAAATCTGTAAGGCATTTTCTTAATTGAAAATAGATGGGAGTACCTGGCCCATTGTGGGCATTGTCACCTCTGGGCAGGTGGTCCTGGGTTGAATATGAAATTAGGCTGAGCAAGCCATGAAGAGCAAGGCAGCAAACAGCATCGTTCCACGGCTTTGGTTTCAGCTCCCACCCCCAGGTTCCTGCCCTGACTCCCCTCCCTGATTAAGTATGACCTGAGAGTTGTAAGCTGAAATAAATCCTATCCTCCCCAAATTGCTTTTGGTCACGGTGTGTTATCACAGCAAGAGAAAATATAACTAGGGCACTGGGAAAACACTCAAAATAAATATCTCTTTTTTAAAATTCAAAAAGAAAACCGAGACACAGAAGAGGTTAAGAGCCAAGGTCCTAGTTCATCAATCGCACAGCCATCGATTATTTCAGACTGACTTAGTTCAAGATAGATTCAAAATGAATTAGGCTCACCTGGAATGGCTTTTTTGAGTATCTCTAAAATTTCTGAATTGTGCATCTACTTATAATTAAACTTGAAATACAGAATAAGGTAATTTCAAAATAAAAGTTTTAATACTTTCAAATGTTAAGCTTATTCTAAAATTTCCTAGATGTTTGAGTTATACTGATCAAAACAAAAAAAATCACTTTTCTTTTAAAGTGCTTCATTCAGAAATGATAAAGTCTATTAATATTTTAAGTTATGAAGAAGCACTTAAATATTCATAAAAAGGAAAAGGAATATGTTAATATGGTTAATCAAAGTAATTCTTTTTCTGGTGTCAAATTGTGTCCTCAAGGGAATAATACCAAAACAAGCAAATGGGCAAATATAAGTTCACACCTGTCCTGCCTAGGTTTTCTCTCGAACTATTTTTTTCAGACTGGACAATGTTATAACTCTCATTCTTAAAATTTTCATGGGGGCTAGAGAGATGGCTCAGTGGTTAAGGACACTGACTGCTCTTCCAGAGGACCTGGGTTCAGTTCTCAGCACCCACATGGCAGCTCACAACTGTCTGTAACTCCAGTTTCAGGAGATCTAATACCCATGGCAAAACACTAATGCACATAAAATAAAAATAAAAATAAATCTGGGCAGTGGTGGTGTACATCTTTAATCCCAGCAATCAGGAGGCAGAGGCAGGCAGATCTCTGTGAATTTGAGGCCAATCTGGTCTACAGAGTGAGTTCCAGAACAGCCAGGGCTGTTACACAAAGAAACCCTGTCTCAAAAAAGAAAAAAAAAAAAGAAAAAAAAAATTCCCATCTTCCCCTTTCACCTCTGTATTTTTAAGATTTTTAGGCTCTTGCTTTTCTCTGATTAAACAATCAATCAAACAAACAAACAAACAAAAATGAACTCATCAACCAGAGCAGCCAAAGATGGAGGAATCTACCACATGTTAGTTGTGCTATAACTACCCGTACTGTTTGATGAGGCTGAAAACGGCAGTCCCCGTCATCACAGAATGCTCACCAGAACACCGCAGAGTCTGGAGGATTGCAGAAGGCGTGCGCCAGAAAATGGCTTAAGCTCCAGACACTAAAGTCTGAGGAGTCATGGCAAAATAATAATAATAATACATTAGGTTAATTGGAAATCCACATTCTGAAAAACAGAAGAAAGACTCTATGCCCAGTATAGGAAAACGGAACTCAACAAAATTCTAACTGGAAGAACTCAAGGCCTAGCAATAAATGGAGCCTGAACTGGTCCCAGAGGGAGGAAAAAATAATCTATTTCCTTGCCTCTTTCAGCTTCTAGAGTCTGTTTCCTGAGTTTCCTGGCCATGTCCTACTTCATCCCCAAGCCAGCAGTTACATAATCCAACAGCCCTGTGGCCTGCACAGCACCTTCTCCACATGGAGCCCCTTGAGTTTCTTACATAAACCCTGTGACTGCACAGGGCCCCAAGGAACCCAAGTCATTTTCCACCTGAAAACCTGAACTTAATAATCAGTAAAAGGGGATGGAGGGATGGCTCAGCAGTTAAGAGCACTGGCTCTTCCTCCAAAGGACCTGGGTTCAATTCCCAGCACCCACATGGCAGTTCACAATTGTCTGTGACTCCAGTTCCAGGGGATCTGGTATCATCGCACAGACATACATGCAGGCAAAACCACAATGTACATAAAAAAGTAAATAAAACTTTTAAAAACTAGTATCAGTAAAGTCCTAATTGCCCCAGATCCCATATTCACAGGTTCTAAAGATTAGCACATGGCTATCTTAGAGAGGGAAATTACTCTGCCCTCCACATGTACCAAAGGATGGCTCATCACAGAGAGAAATTTCTCATAAAGCAAAGAAGAAGCTAATGCCTTAAGCAGGTAACAATGTAAGAACAACAGGTAACAATTACTATAAAGCACCTTCTTCATATAAAGAACATCTCCTGAGGTAGGTTTCCTTTGGCATATAAGAAAATAGCTAGCCCATTACAAAGCACTGTAACGTTTGTTCTGTACTATACTAAACAGTCTAAGGGGATGGCAGAAAAGAAAGAACATTAACTGTAAAATCTTAATGTAATTGGGGACATTCCAATTTCCCAGCAGGAAATGGCCCAACACCAAACTCTTTCATTGCTCTGCTCAAAATTATGGTTCAAAACTATTATCTCTTCTTTATTCTTCAATATCTCCAAGTCTACACATACTAATAAGAGTCTCCAGTTTCTTCAATAATAGATTAAAAATCCAGATATGATCAAGTTACAATATTTCAAATAATAATGAAATAAAGATTATGCCATTCACAAAAATGCAACATCAAAATTTTTTATGTTGATTTACAATCACCAGAATGAATAAGTGATCTATAGAATGTGAAACAATCTTTGTCATTTATACATTAGACAGAAGATTAATGTCTAAAATTAATTTAAGTGCAAAATTAGACACACACAATATCACCCAATCAATAAATGAGTTAATGAACCAAAGAGACAGTCTCAATAAAAGAAATATAAATGGCCAATAAGCATTTGAGACAATGTTCAATATCCTTAGCTGTCAGGAAAATGCAATTTAAAACTGCTTTGAGCCAGAGTCTGGTTAGTCCCAGTCAGAATGGCTACCATCACAAAAACAAAGGCTGGTGATGTTTGGGAAGAAGAGATCCTTTACCCAGCTGGGAGAAATGTAAATGAATATAGCCACTATGAAAATCAATATGGATTTGATTTGAGGTTACTCAAAAAACTGAAAATAGAACTATGATATGCTCCAAGTATGCCACTCCTAGGTATATTATATATTCAAGAACTTTAAGTGAGCATACCACAAAGATACTCTGCATCTTTGTGCATGCATGTTTATTGTTGCTCTATTTAATCACTGAGAAATGGAATCACTTTGCATGCCTATCAAAAGATGAATGAATAAAAGAAAGTAGTATATACAATGGAATTTTATTGTCATAAGGAATAAATGGAAAATGCACAGAGCTGAAGGTCATTCTGTTAAGAGAGATAAGCCAGACTAAGAATGACAAATGCCATGCTTTCTTTCATTTGCAAAATCTATATGCAAATCTATGTGTGGGAAGATCATGAAAGTGGAAGAGGAAAAGTATAAGAAAAACTCTTTGAGAGATTGAGAGCAGAGGGGACTAGCAAGAGAAAAGCACAGAGGATGCCGGGGGAGTGGAAGATGGGGTAAACAAGAACAAAGCATAACGACATGTATATATGAAAATATCGTAATGAAACCTATTACTTTGTATGCTAACTGTGAATTTTAATTATAGGAAGGAAAAATCCAGATATACTGTCTTTAGCCCAGAGCAAGTGGTGATTTTGAAGGCATCACTGAGCATATCAGTATTTAATGGAGTTGTTAGAAGACACAGAGTCCATCTCTTTGCTTCCATTGAAAGACTCCAGGGTCCAGCAGCAAGCGGTGAATGGTAACAGGAGCAGCTCTATTACACTGAGCTAGCTTATGGCAACGTGCAGGATCAGTGAGTCGGAAGGGCTAGCTTTCTTGGAGGCTGATCTAAGGTGGTTTCTATGGGAGATAGATGACTTCATAATGGTAAATAGCTTCTCACAGACAGGTGTGTGGTCAGATGATGAACCTCTGACCCTAGTCCCTGAGGAAGAAATACTTCTCAGTTCTGCAATTGTCAGGAGCAAAGATCATCATTTCCTTGGCCTATTCTTGTCACTGATTGGTGTGCTACCAATATACACTGGATGAGCTTCAGGAGGGAGCTGCCCTGAGAGCCTCCCACTGGTCATCAACCTCACAGTCGTGAAAGAAAACACTGCAGTTGATCACTGGGGAAGACTGGGGTCAGCAGGACCTTTTCACAGTAATTCATCCTGACCCTCATCAGCTTTACCTCCTAAAGTATCTCTTTTCTAAGCAAAAGCATACCCACACACCTCTCCAAGCTCACAACTCTCAAAGAGCAATCCGGGAAGTTCTAACATTCATATATTTGTTTCAGAGAGTTCAGGCATCCCACAATGTCCTCATGGACAAAGTTCATTTTCAACCCAATTAATCTCTACTGAAACAGTCATATTTATAGAAGATTCAAGTATTGCCTGTCTGTGGGGATCCCAAAGGAAGCCACAGATCTGAAGGCATGGTTTCTTTTGAAGAATCCAAACAAGACAAAATTGAAAAACAAGAATATTTTAAATAATGACTTTGTTCTGGCAAAACCTGAAAGATCTGTTATTCTAGTCACTAGAAATAACTTAGCATTTGGGAATTAGCAACTGATGAACTCCTCACTACTCGATTAAGCTTAGTTAGATCTTAATACTTTCAATTTGGAGATCTATTAACAATGCTTGGTTTTTTTTCTCTTGTGTTTCAGTGTATTAAAAGGGTTCATTAAACAAGTAATATCATTCAATAGTGATCTCCTGAGTCCCAAAATGAAGGTTTCTGTCTTTTAATTTCTGAAGATGCTTGGTCAAACAATTAATCCAACCCCACTTAATGCAGTTAAGTCATCTTCTTCCCAAGAGCTCATGAACAAGAAATTATCACGGGCTATAAGGTGGAAAACCCCCAATATTGACCACATCCTCTGTCATGTCACAGAATCAGCCTGGCTTGTAAAGTTCACAGCTCAACACAGTCTCCCCTGACCAGTGATGCAAGAGCAACTAAGCCCAGCAATGCCAAGTCTGCTTGGGCTATTTCCAGTCCCAACGGTGGCCGCTGTGCATCTTTTTTTCATGTTTTATCTGAACTCCTCAAATCAATTTTTGAAACATGCTTATGGTCTACTTTGTAATTATGTCCTTCTTTATTTGCAGCACTCAAGATAAAGCCCAGGCCCTGAGACACATGGAAAAGCAATCTATACCTACCGCAGAGGGGCAGGAACCTTCTCACAGATGGAGGTTTGTGACAAATGATGTATAGCTAATCCTAAAGGCCTAGACTTCCTTTTCAGTTGTACAGATTTCAAAAACAAAATCATTACGGGCAGGCGGGCAGACAGACAGTGTTTAGCCTGGAAGCCTGTTGGGGGGCTCCTGGCACACGTCTAGCTGGTTTCTTTGTCTTATATTCAGACTAATCTAGTCTTAAGCCTTTCTGTTTCCAGTTCTACTGTAGTCAAATGACAAGGATTCCTACCTAGAGCCTGGTTAGAGGAAACTGAAGAGCGCTGTCCCCGGTTTCTGTGGATGTGACAAAGCAACTCAGAGGGGAAAGGACTTTAACTTACAATCACAGGTTACAGTTCACCATGGAAGGGAAGTCACAGAGGGAGGAAGGTGAGCAGTTAGTCACACCACACGCACAGCACAGCGGAGAGCAGAAAGGACTAAGAATGCATGCTTACCTGTGCTCAGATCTCTCTCTGCACTGCACAGTCCAGGATCCTCGGCTTACAGAACGGGACCACCCACGGTGGGCTGGATCTTCTAGTACCAACTAACATTAGCATCCAAGATACCTCTCCACAGACATACCCACCCGCCAACCTCATTTGGACAACCCCAGGTGACGCGCAGTTGCGTCAAGTAGACAGTTAAAACTAACCGTCACGACCGCAAACTTTTTAGTTGTTTGTTTGTTTTTAGCTCCTAGGACGGGGTCTTGGTATGGATGCAAGGCAGGTGGCCTCAACCGCATGATCCCCCTGCTTCAGTCTCCAAAGGGCCAGGGTGAGTCTTGTGCCACCACACCAGACTGACTAACCTCAAACCGTTTTACATTCGAGAACTTTTAAAGTTTGAAACTGACAATTTACAGCCACTTTCAAGCCCAGAAAATGCATAAATGCTTTATCTCCACCTCTCAGCTACATCTCAGTTAGTTAAACTTTGGTAAAAATTGACAATAAACTGTTTCAACTAATGCTTAAAGAGATTTGTTTCAACCCTTATTATATTATTATTTTTCATTCAAAACCTAATTTTTCAGTTAAGAATTACCTGGGACATAATTAAACAAACAAGTCTGTAATATAGTACTTCATGAACCAAATCCTAATAGATTTGTTTTTGTTTTTGTTTTTCTGAATCTTTACACTGGAAAACCGAGAAAGCACACATGTGAGTTAGAGATTCCTCAAGACTGTGGAGGATGAGACTGGGAACAGGAGCCCACCTGGTTGAAGGAGGAGTCGCTGTCGGAGCAATTGTCCGTACAGCAGCTGCCGCTCGTGTCCTTCTCCATCTTCCTCTGTCTGTCCTCACTCCGCGTCTCATCGTCTTCAAACTTGTTGATCATCGACTCCACCACCACCATCATGATGGTCTTCAGGGAGTGCATCATGTCCTTATACCTTCAAATCCAATGGACACTCAATAAGAGACCTCGACACTCAAGTACGCTTTCTTTTTTCTATGAAAAGGAAAATTCTTTCAGAGCATAATGCTGACAAGGAAAAATCTAAGTTTCCGTTTCATGAAAAAGGCAAAACAGGCTGATGAAATGGAAATAAGGAATCCCCAAAGTACATTATTTCTCACAATTTCTCATCTAGAAATATGAAGTAATGTGATAAAATCAATGTAATTCTAAGCCAAGCTGTTCCAATGGCGTACGTTCCTGTGACCAGAGACACAATCAAATGTTCTCAACGTGTTTCCAAAACCCAGTTCACGTCTGTCGCTCACCACATTTCTCTCTTCTCACCTCCCTTCCCGTCTTTCCTCATATCCGTGGGCCACCACAGCCCCAATTGAGACCTTCTATGTTTTCTCAGTATCTACGTAGGAGTAAAGCACTCAGCATGTGTTTTCAAAGAAAAGCCACAAGACCAATAGTCAGGAGTGGCAGGACACAGATTCCTGAAGTAAGACTTAAAACTGGAAATTTTCTAGATCCCCTCAGCTCTATAAGTCTAAAAATGTCTCCAAGAGAGGAAATATAATTTTTAAAAACTTATAATTTTATTTTTGCTTTATTATTTTGTGTGTATGGGTGTTTTGCATATGAGAAACAGAGAGAAATATATCTATAAATTCAATGCAGGCCTGGCCTATGAAGAGAATTCCAGGCCAGTCAGTGCTATATATTGAGACTATGTCTCAAAGAAGCAAAGAGCTGTTCTCTCCTTTCACAGCAACTGGATAATCGCTAAACTTTGCCCTCAGCATCTTTTGTAGCTAGGTGTGTTCACATGCGCATCATGATTTCTCTATTCCTTTTAAATTTACAATTTGGTGATGTAGTGAGGTCTGCATGTAATCCCGGCCCTCTACGTGGAGACAGGAAGATTTAATTCAAGTCTGCTTCAAGAGAAGAAAGTAGAAAGAAGGAAGAAGAGAAGGAGGATGGAAAAAGGAGGGAGGAAAGAAGGACAAGGAGGAAACGCTGAAAGACAGACAGACAAACAATTTGGCAATTTAGTGAAAAAGTATGAAAAGTACAACATGAAGATTATTTCATGCACTGAATATCTGAAATTTCCATTTGGACATAAATGTTTCTAACAGGCATTTTATTAAAAGGCTCCCATGAATTCTTCTGTAAGAACTACCATGAAAATGGTCAGAAGGGAAAAGGGGGTAATGATCTTTTAAAAACCTAAGTACCTGATCATTAATATCAAGGGTTAAATTAACCGGAATGCAACATCAGCCACTGCAGCTTTTAGAAAGCAAAGGGAAGCAGATATAGACTATAGATACCATCTACACATTCCTATAATGCCTCAAGAAATATTCAAATAAAGGCCAGGAAAGTAAAAAGCTTCAAGAAAAGAAAATCAGAATAACAATGGAAATCTGCCCACATGCTTCCAAACTCACTGAATAACACAAGAGACCTGAAAAAAAGCTCTTCCATGTGCCGGTATTAAATAAATAAACATCAAAACATTTAATTAGTGAAATGGTTTATAATTACCACAATAAAAATGTACTGTGGCCACGTGAGCTCTAAGTAACTTTTCAAGGACCACAAAAAAATTACTTCTAGGAAAATAATACTCTGTACAACTTAGAGTCTATCATCCATAGCTCAAAGGGCACAAGACAACATTCATTAAGTACTTTCAAGTCTTTGTGAAGTAATGATTACTGTTTTAAATTTTATGTATGGATGAACTAAAGGACAGCAGAGTTAAATAGCTTACCCAGAAATGTTTTTAAGTAATTTCCTAACAAGATCATCTATTCTTGTTGGAATAAGCTGCTAGACACAGACCACTAGGTATTAAAGTATTGTCCAAAGAGGAACAGAATTCCTGTATTTTTCTATAAAATAAGAAATAAGACATTTTATCCAGGCATAGTGGTACGTGTCTATAATCCCAGCACTCAGGAGGCAGAGGGCAGATGGATCTTTGTGAGTTCAAAGCCAGCCTAGTCTACAAAAAGAGTTCCAAGCCAGCCAGAGCTGTTACACAGAGAAGCCTTATCTTGAAAAACCAAAAATTAAAAAAAAAAGAAAGAAATTTTAACTTTATTGACTCTACTCCCTATGTTAGAGGTTTGAACTAGCTATTTATATCTATATACTGCCATTTCATTCCAATAAATAACACTTGTCACAAGAGAAACAGAACTCCAGTCCAGACTAAATTTTTAAGCTTAAATAAATATTAAATTAATGCTCTATAAAAAATAAATTAGAATTAATGCTCTATAGTACAACAGATAATAAATACTTGAGCATAAATTCCAGTATCTTTAATACTGGGGTTGGCAGAATACTATCTGTGGTGGTGTTTTAAAACAGAATGGCCCCCATGGGCTCAAGTATTGAATTCCTTGGTCCCTAGCTGGTGAAATTTTTCACAGCAACAGAAAAGTAATTAAGATATTTAATTGACCTAAATTGACTTTCCACTAAATAAAATTTTACTGAAACACATGCACATTCTTTCTACTATATATTATTTATGGTTGTTTTCATATTGTTGATAAATACACAGATAGTAAAACCTCATGTGCTTATTGTATGCCCCTTTATAAAAACATCTGCCAACCCCTGCCCTAAGGGATGATGGAGTAACAAAGTGAAGGGAACCGCAACCCTGGTCATGAATAGTGAACAACCCCACCCACCCATACATCACCTGTGCGCTCCTGGGGAAAAGTTCATTTCTTAGGGGTTTGTGCTTTCAAGCTTCTTTGGTATAGCTATTCATTACATATTTTGCCTAGTATATTTCTTCCTTGATATTTCCATACAGCCCTTTGCATACATCGTAGCATTTAGCACACAGAATTGAAACTGTTGAATTTCCATTTCAGAGCAGTATCAAGCTCTCTCTGTACACTACGGATATGTGAAGGGTAGCAAACATCGCATGCCTCTTCACAGTACACCATACTGTAGCTGCTCGTTCAGTGTATGAAGAGGATTTGACATATGAAGGAAGAAAGAGTTATTACTAAAGACACAGTCACTTTCAGCATCAGTCTGCTTTCCTCAAACGAAATTTGAGCCTGCGTACGTTAACCAAGAAGAGAAGTCTATCTCCTCAGTCAGGGGGATCACAAGCTGGCACCAGCTTCTGCCCAGCTCTGGTCCAGACCTCGTGGTAAAGAGCACACAAACAACAAGATTGCTTGAGAAAGGGATAACATGACAAGAGCAGAAGACGGCGGCAGCGGCGGCGGGCAGGGAGAGGACTGCTGCTTTTTATAGCATCTCTGTCTAGCTCTTTCTCTGTGGCGAGCATGCGTGCTTGCTCTCTCGAGCACTAAAACTCAGTAGGGTTAAGAACCGCTTAATCCCGAGACTCCACCTCCAGGGACCTAACTGTCTTGTATTTAGCCTCTCTTCAGGGATCTACCACCTCTAATTCTGCCACACTGGGAACCAAGCTCCTAACCCTGTTTGAGAGTAAACAACATCCCAAGGATTGTAATTTGTAACATAAAACTGACTGTAGTGGCCAATAAAATACTTTAGTTTCATTAACAAGTATCTATTCAGCAGCTATAGTATACAAGGCACTTTCAAGGTATTAAGATACAGAAATAGAAAAAAAAAAAAGTTAGATAAAAAAAATTATCTTCGTAGGCCAGGTGGCGGTGGCTCACGCCTTTAATCCCAGCACTCAGAAGGAAGAGCCAGGCGGATCTCTGTGAGTTCGAGGCCAGCCTGGTCTACAGAGCAAGATCCAGGACAGGCTCCAAAGCTACACAGAGAAACCCTGTCTCAGAAAAAAAAAAAAAAAAAAAAAAAAAATATATATATATATATATATATATATATATATATATATATATATATATATATATATATATATATATATATATATCTTTGTAGATCACCCATCCTATCAAGGAATAAGAGGAAGAGGGAAAGGTTATTGGTTTGTGCAGAACAGAGAGGAAAATGTCTTAAAAGGAAGAATGTGAACTAAGAGGCTCCCAAATTGTACGTTAAGTCATAAGAACTAAGGAAAGGGCACTCACTCTACAGGAATCCAACATGAGAACATTCCTGAGAGATGTGCGTAAGACTGTTTAATAAAGAGCAAGACCAGCGCGGTGGGAGAAGTGTGGGAAGGAGGGTGGCAAACAGGTCGGGAGAATGTGCAGACAGCTCACAGGCAGCCTTGTGGACTGCCCACAGAGCCCCGTGTTTGCTCTGTAGAATGGGAGGGACATGGCTTGGGAGTACAGTCAGGAAATCCCAAGGAAGTATTAGTGTGGAAAGAGCAGCTGGAACGAGAGGGCAGCATGCTCCTCACACACACCTAGCCTGCACAAGTGCTACAATCCAAGGAAACTACCAGAAAAGGACTCATAACTTCCCCCAACACACACCAGAGACCCCAGAACACTGAGGCTGCAGAGACCAAGGGGTCCAACTCCCCATTCCCCCCACAGCACCGTGTGGAAGCTGCCACAGCCAGAGGGATCTGAGACCCTCACACATCAGATCAGTGAGGTGTACCAGCAATCCATTCTTTTTATTTCTTATTCTGTGTTATTTAACTTCCACTTTTGTATATGCCTCATGATGGTTTTGCTTTTGCTTGTATAGTGCTCTGTTAAGTTTGGGGACACCTGCTATGTCTCTCCATCCAGTTTACCAGCGCAGTAACGTAAGAAACACAAAGCAGGACAAGATGACTCTCCCAAAAATCACTAAGACTGCAGTGATGGCATCTGGTGAGAGAAACAGGAAGTCACAGGCAGAAACTCAAAGGAATGATCATAAACACAGATGTATATATGTGTGTATTCAAAGAAGAAAATGAGCTTCTCGTGGAGAATACAACCAGCTGGATGAAATACAGCAGGTACTGCAAGATATGAAAAAGCAATTCCACAGAGATAGAAATACTGAATAAAGAGGATATCGGAAATGCTGGAAATGGAAAACGCAGTAAATCAAATGGAAAGCTCTGTGGAAAGTCCCCCGAAGAGGATAGATCAAGGAGAGAACAGAGTAACGGAGCGAGAACACAAAGCTGGGGAATTGCAGCAGCAAACAAAGAAAAGGATAAAACAGTGAGCCCAGGTGAGAACCCCAAGTTATACACAACACTCTAAGATGCCAATCCAGGAAGACACGGGAGGTATTGAGGACACCAGACAGACAAGACCAGAAAAGAACCTCTCATCATCACACATTATGTTACACTAAATATAAAGAACACAGAGAGTACACAGGAAGCAACAGGAGAAAAACACCAAATCATGTACAAAGACGAGCCCATCGGAACAACAGCAGATTATTCAACTAAAGCTTTAAATCCAGAAGAGACTAGACAGATGTCACGTTCTCAAAGACAACTGCCAGTCCAGACTACTGTCCCCCCAAAGCTACTTGTCATAAAAATCAGGAGCATCTACTTGCCGCCTCTGAGAACACCAGCTCACCATAAAGGCAGACAGCCACCTAGGGTGAAAAGATGGGGAGAGGTGTATCAAGGAAATGGGCCTAGGAAGCAAGCGGAAATCAGTAGACAGAAAGAAATCATTAAGATCAGGGGAGAGAGGTACTTACCAAGCCCTAACCCTGGCTAAACAACTACTGACAGCTGATAGCTTCTGGGAGAAAAGCAGCTTTCTTTAAAGCTGTGCCCCCAGGTAGGTCCACCACGCTCCAGTGGATGGTCCCAGACTCATATATGGGTGGCACTAATTGTACTCAACGGGGTCATAAAACAAACAACAGGACCAGAAGTTATAAGGCTGGAAGGATGAGGGGGGTGGATCTAGGATGAGTCAGGCAGAGAAGTGGGGGTAAATATGATCAATATCCATCATACGCACATAGGAAATTCCCAAGCAGTGAATGAAAACATGTTCTTAAAAGACCAGGGCAGAAATTAATAAAGTTAATGAAGAGTTGTTTCTTTGAAAAGACATACAAGGCTGACAAACCCTTTAACAAAACTAAAGAAAGAAAAGACCCAAATTATTAGGTCTTACCTTGAAAACATCATCTACTAAAACTGGAAGATCTAAAAAGAGTGGGTAACTTTCTAAATGCATGTGACCTACAAAATTAAACCAAGATGAGATAAACAATGGAAAGAACTCTGTAACAAGCAGTGAGGTTGAGACAGTAATTAAAAATGCCCCAACTAAAGGAAAGTCCAGGCCCAGCTGGATTGATTCACTGATGAATTTCATAAAACCTTTGAAGAAGAGCACCATTGCTTCTCAAACCATTCCATAGACTACAAAAGGTGGGAACACTACCACGCTTTTTTTTTTTTTACAAAGCTTACACATTGGAGAAAAGACAGCATCTTCAAATGGGGCTGGAAAAACTGAATTCCTCCATTTAGAAGAAACTAAATCCATATAGGTGTGTATGTGTGCACAAAAGTCAACTACACATAGATCAAGGACCTCAACAAAAGACCTGATTGTCTGAAACTGCTAGAGGGGAGTGTACTTCAAGATATATAAGAGGCAAGGATTTTCTGAATAGGACTTGAATCACTCAGAAAATAAGGCCAGTATCTACAACTGAGGTTTCATGAGATGTAAAGGACAGGAAATTGCCAATTAAGAGACAGCCTACATAATGGGAGGAATCTGTCAGCTATATATGCTACAAGAGGATTAGTATCTAGAATATACAAAGAATTCAAAAAAAAAAAAACTAAACATCAAAACAAACAAGTAGTCCAAAAAAAAATTAGTCATGAACCCAGAGAGTTCTCAAAAGAAAAAAAAAATGTCTAACAAATACTTTAAAATGTTCAACATTGCTAGCTACCAGGGAAATGTAAAGTAATGCTACTCTGAAATTCCACCTCACCCCTTGCAGAACGGCTGTCACCAAGAAATCAAATGACAGCAAATGCTGGTGAGGATGTGGGAGAAGAGGAACCTTGACCCACCTTGTCCACCATTAGCGGGAATGCAAACTGGTGCACCCACTACGGAAAGCAGTGTAAAAATCTTCAAAACCCTAAAAACAGAACTACCATAGGCTGCAGCCATGCAACTTCTGGGCATATACCCAAGAGACCCTCTATCCTATTGCAGAGATATTTGTGCGCCCATATTCACTGCTGCCATATTCACAATAGCTAGGAAATGGACTCGGCCTAGATGTCTAACAATTGATGAGTAGATAATGAAACTGTGATACCTATATACAGTGGATTTTTATTCATCTATAAAGAAAAATAGAATTCTGGGGAAAATGGAGCTGGGAAATACTCCATTAAGTGACGTATCTCAAACCAACAAGAAAAGCACCATGTGTTTCTATCATATGTGGAGCCTAAGTTTTTATTTTTAGAACTGAGATCTTGATTTGGGGTGTCTGCAGAGGTCAGAAAGCTAGAGAGAGTGTGGGAGAAGGGAAAATTAGAGGGATGACAGGGTGAGGAGATACATATATTATAAAATACAAATGTAATTTTTATGTCATACTTACTCTTTAGACTCCTGGGTTCTCTTGGTAACATGCTGTACCACAGTGTCATAACCAGATTCCTCACCCTGATTCTGATCAGATGTGCACTTTTCCATTTCTTCTTCAATCATAGATCCCAACGTGTTACATATGTGCTGTCTAAGGTATTTCACAAATTCATAGCTGAAACAAACATAGAAACAAAACACAGTAAATATCAGTCTCACTTAGGAACAAGATGCAAAGAATTTAGCACACAAAGGCCTGTAACATGCAAAGATTTCTTGCCTTGTTATTAGGAAAACAAATAACAAATACTGGCAAGGAGTCTCCAGTCCTTGAATCTATCTTATTCATTGGGGGAGTTGAGGCAGGGGAGCAGGGTTCCTCTATGTAGTTCAGGCTGGCCTCTAACTCAAAATCCTTCTGCATCAGCCTCCTCCATCCTGGGATTACAGGTGTATACCACCATGCCAGCAAGTTCTGTATCTCAGACTGACCAATCCTCCTACTTAAGAAAATACCTGACCAACTGACCTTGGTACAATCCAGCCACATTACTGAAAGGAAGTGAGAATCCTAACGTAGAAACAGTTTACTGCATGGTATTTCCTTATGCTTTGATATTTTTCTTGCAAAATAGGCCATATGCATACATCCATATATTGTATATTCACTGTTACCTTAAAGATAAATTGAAAAAGGTTTAAACTTCCTTTCAGTGATAGCAGAAACTATTTTTTTAACATATTCTCCTCCAGCTGAGGATAGAGTCCAATTTTAAAGACAAAAAAAGGTAAATAGAGAAATAAAAGTCCTAAACGATGCACATCTGAGTCTCATAAAGTATTCTTTGCTCATAAGGAAGGACACCTAGAAGTAATCCCACCCCTAAGCAGCTCAGGGTGAACTGCAATAATCCTCATTGTTTCCTCCACTAATGAAAGCCTTTGTGCTTACACAGGAAAATGTTACTAAACTAAGGAAAGACATTCACGTTTCCACTCTTCCTTCTCCAGTGCTATTACCTACAGTTCCCAGGAAAACTCAGTGATTGTTCTTCCATGGTGAACTTGTGACTTTCTCGGATCATTGATACAAAACCACAGAAAACCAAAAACTATATTTTATAATGTCATATATATGTCATATGTCATAAATGTCATATATCATATTTACATGCTAAGGACATAAAGTATGTATTCTCTCCCTGTCCCCTTCTACAGGCCTCAAGTATTTTCCGCCATATCAAAGGAAGGGAGGAAAACATGGAACTTCTAGAAAAATACATACAGCTTAGAGAAGGGGCTGCTGAAGAATGGGACAGGCTAGCATCTCTATGTGTCAAATCTCTGGGATGGCATTATCTATATTAGTTTCTCCTCCAAAATGACCACACTGTCTCCCACTTTGGTTTATTATGCCTGAAATTACATTATTTACTGACTCAACTGTCTCTGGCACCGTCTTCTTATAAAAATGCTCATAATCCAGAAACTCATATCCCATATAAGCTTTTTTAAATGTGGAATGATAAAAGGAAGAGGTAATTGCAGAGGTTAGAGATATTAAGGTAACAGGATGTTAATGAAAATCTTTATGTAAATTAGTTTGAAAATCTGGATAAAACTGAAAAATTCCCAAAATATAATACTAAAAATACTGACTTATTTACTATTTTTAAAGCACAGATGTGCCAGGTGTGGTGGTGTACACCTATCATCTCAGCTCTCCAGAGGCAAAGACAAGTGGAGCTCTGTGAGTTCTAGGCCAGCCTCGTCTACAGAGCGAGTTCCAGGCCAGTCGGAGCTAAATAGTGAGATTCTGTCAGAAAGAAAAACAAACAAAAACCAAGCAAATGGATATTAATAAATTCCACTTTTATTAGAGACGATGCCAAATTTTCTATATTGTGATTTTTTTTCTCTCTCTTTTTTTTTTCTCTCTTTTACTTTTTTTTTTCCTTAAATTTTTCAAGACAGGGTTTCTCTCTGTGTAACAGTCCTAGCTGTCCTGGAACTCACTTTGTGGACCAGGCCCTCCTCAAACTCACAGAGATCTGTCTGCCTCTGTCTCCGATGAGCTGCGATTAAAAGTGTGCACCACCACTGCCCGGCTATATTGTGATTTTTAAATAATAAACCTATAACAAAAAGAACTGATTGCAAGTATATCTAAAGAATAATAGTATTGTCAAATAACTGAGATTAGCATCAACATAATATGGAAATAAGCAAAGATAAAGGAAGCCATAAGCACAACCGTAAAATGTAAAAAATCAAGCTGGGCAGGGTGGCACATGATCCCATCACTTGGGATGCTGAAATAGAACAGTAACTTCCAGGCTAGCCTAGGCGACATGGCAAGCAGGCCTCAAAAATTAGTATTCAATGAGAAACTCGACAGCGATTCTTTCTACATCTTTCAAAGATTCCCTCTCGAACCTGAGGAAATCGGAAAGGACAACCCAGAATACAACAAGTAAACAAATAACATGAAAGGCCTGAAGGAACCCCTAACGCCCATTTTCAGACAAACTGAACTTCAAGTTATCCAAAAGTCAATAAAAACACCATAAAATGCCTCCTATCATACATGAGACCCTAAGTTCTATTCCCAAGCACCAGAATGAAGTAAGCAGATAAGCAGACAAAAGCGACATCACAAGAAAAATGGCTATGAGACCAAATGAAATGCAAACACTGGGTTTAAAAAAAAAAAAAAAAAAAAAAAAAAAAAAAAAAAAAAAAAAAACTACAACTAATCATAACCCGGGGGCCTGGAGATACTACTTCGAAACTGAGAAACTTAACTCAGTTTCTGAACAAACTCCAAAGAAATGCACAGATCTCTAAAGATCTTTAAGTCTAAGGTGCGTTTATATTTTTAGAGTCGATTCTGGTAGTGCTTGACAACCTCCTTTCTCCGTTTCTTCTCCATGCTGGGCCTCTTGTCAAGGGATCCAGGGCATTTGCATGGGTGCCCTACCACTTCACAGGCACCCAGATCTGCTTCAGTATGGGAGCCCGTCGCAGTGTTGAGTGGCTGACTACTGCAGGTGGTGAAGTAACAGACCAGCACACGGGGATCTTGGGGGTCACTACTATGTAAAGTGAAAGGAATCCCTTTAAGAGGTTAAGACTGTTCTTTAAAGAACATGAATGGTTTACAACTGATGTTCTTAAGCCGCTGTGAGAGCAAAGAAACGCAGGCAGAAAAGGCTCTGGAAAACCAGTTTGAAAAAATAAATTCGGCACTGGGACAAATGACAGAAAAACTGAACCACTAATTACTGATCTTTAACAAGAATCAAATGAATCTCCTTCACCGAATCGTTTCCACCTTTCCTGCACCGGTGGTTTGTTTGCTTAAGAACTTAAAACTCGACTTTACTTGTGGAAATTTTCGTCAGTTTCCTCCAGCCGCAAGAGGATCTCCTCTGCGCACTCCAAGGAGGGAGCGCCGGTGATCTTCTCCTTCACGCTCTGGAACAGCTGCCGGAGCATCGCCTGCAGCATCCCCTCATCCCCGCCGGAGAAATGGGCCATTCTGTGCAGCCGTCCGTCCTCGGCACCCACGGCGGGGTCGCCACCAACACACACCACTGCGCACGCGCGGCCCGGTCCAATCGCGGCCGGCGCGCAGCGTCGTTCCCTAGGAAACCACCGCCAGCGTCCGGGGGCGGGGCCGCGGTTGAGTGGCTTTCTGCAGAAGGAAAAAAAAACACAAAACGAAACTCTGGGTTTGGAGACCCGGAGCAAGCTGAGGACGGCGTTCAATGCTTGACGTTGGGCGGAACCAGCAAAGCTCAGGCCGCCCACCGACCTCAACATCAGACCCTTCAGGCTCTGCGGGGCGAGCCTGACGGGGACGCCCCGCTGCGTCTGACGTCAGCTCGCCGACGCGGCGCGGGTTGGGGTGAATCCAGGAGGAGACCCGTTCCTCTCTGGACCTCGACCTGCAGGTGGGAAGGGGAAAGAGTGGCAAGCGGCAGTCAATAAAAGCCGAACAAGCCAGGCGTTGGTGGCGCACGCCTTTAATCCCAGCACTCGGGAGGCAGAGCCAGGTGGATCTTTGTGAGTTCGAGGCCAGCCTGGGCTACCAAGTGAGTTCCAGGAAAGGCGCAAAGCTACACAGAGAAACCCTGTCTCGAAAAAAAAAACCCAAATCAAAGCCGAACAAAAGAAGCCAGGCTGGGATTCGGCTGTGTCAACTGGACAGTGGATGAAATTTAAAAAAGAAAGAAAGAAAAGGAAAAACTGTTTTCTTACAGTAGCTAACACCTGTTGAGCGGCTGCAGCTTACCAAGCACCGCCTGCCTGTGAAGATGGCCCTTCCTATGGTGACAGATAAGAAATTAATAATTCACTACGGGGCAGTTACTAAAGAAATGCCCCGTGACAGACTGGAAGCAGCTCTCGAACCCTCGTCCCTAGCTAAGGAGCTAGGGACAAATGGCTTCTGGGAGCTAGAGAGTCAGTTGTCTTTCAGGGTGTGGCCATGCTCAAATGGATGACGCAACGTCCATGAGACTGACAGAAAAAAAAGTGGACTCGGTATTTTGTTGTTTGTTTTGATTTTTTAGGTCTGGAGAGGTAGGTTGGTGGTTAAGAACACTGGCTGCTATTCCAGAGGACCCGGGTTCAATTTCCAGCACCCACATGGTGGCTCACAACCTTCTGTAAGTCCAGTTCCAGGGGATCTGATGCCCTGTCTCGCCTCTGTGGGCACTGCACATCTGTGGTTCACAGACATACATGCATGCAAACATTATACACGTAAAGTAATTTTTACAATCAATATTTTTAAAAGAAGGAAGGGAGTGGGGAGATGGAGTAGTGGAGGTGAATATGATCTAAGACGTTATACACATGAAATTACAATATGTATAAAAGAAAGGGATTGGTGGTGGAAGTTGCTGTGGAAACCTAAGATTCTGTTCATAATCCAGTAGGGAGTTCAAAAGAAACAGAACATCGTCTACGGCCATACCACCCTGAACGCGCCCGATCTCGTCTGATCTCCGAAGAAACAGAACATCGTTGGACATGAAAAGTACGGGAGTTTGAACATGTTTATTTTTCAGATACCAAGAGCTACAGAACAGCCCCAACCCACTGATGAATGTTTTAATGTCAATAAACTTCTCAAACCCAGCCATATATTCTCTCCTCATACCAGATACACTTCTCAGGTTAGCCAGATTCAGTAATTCTCCTGCCCATGCTAGTGCTTCCAGGAAAACAGACATTTCTTTCCAGCTATGGAAGTATATTTAGTCAGAAAATAAATTTCTTTGTTTTCTTTTTTAGGTTCTTTGCTTGCTTTTTAGTATAAAAATTAGCTTTCATCTTTTTTATTCTTTAACAATTTCATACATGTATACACTGATTTCCATCCCCATTCCCTTCTTTTATCTGCACTCTCACCCACTGAAACCCTTCTTCCCAACAAACTCCCTCCTATTCTGATGACTTTCAGTTTCCCATTGACCCACTGAGTTTACTTACAGTTGCCTGCGTGAGCATTTTGGGGGAGGGGTTGTTTACTGAAATATGAGTAATTTATTAGTGGCAATACCACTGAAGAAAATTACACCTTCCCCTTCAGCACCCATTTCTAGCATATAGACTCCCAGTGAGAGGTAGGGCCTCATGAGCTCCTAGGCCATACAGGATAAGACCAGCCAAAGGCCAGTTTTGTGCAGGTCTTGTGCAAATAACCACAGCTTCAGTGAGTTCCTAAGTATAGTGTCTGTGCTATGTCCTAGATACACTGTCTCAAAGAAATCCTCTCCAACCTTCGGCTCCTGTATTCTCTTTTCACCCACCTCTTCAAGTTATTCCCTAGACCCTCCGAGACTGCAGCTGATCCCTGAGACAGAGCCTACCAGTGCCAGTTGGACTAAGAACTTCTCCCTGAGACAGAGAGTCCATCAGCACGTATTAGACCAAGAGCCCCCATTAGACCAAGAGCTCCCATTGGACCAACAGTATCAATCGGACCAAGAGAGGCTCCCTCAGACACAAACACCACTTGCACCTAATGGAGGTAGAGATGGGTAGATGCCAGTGCAAAAATACAGTCAACCACATAAATATCAATATGGCACCATCAGAATCTAGTGGATCTACATCAGTAAGACCTGAACATCCCAACACAGAATAAGCAGAAGAAATCAACCTTAAGAATGACTTTAAGAAGATGATAGAGGCCTTTGAAGAGGAAATGAAATTTTCCCTTAAATAAATCAAGGAAAAAAACAAAAAATTGGAAGAATTCAGTAAATCCCTTAAAGCCAAGTACAAGCAATTAAACAGGTGAAGGAGACAATTCATGATTTGAAAACTGAAATAGAGACAATAAAGAAGATACAAACTGAGGGAATGCTGGAAATGGAAAATCTGAGTAAATGAACAGGAACTACAGATGCAAGCATAACCAATAGACTATAAGAGATAGAAGAGAATCTCTGGCATTGAAGACACAATAGAGGAAATAGATTCATCAGTCAAAGAAAACACTAACGCCAATAAAGTCATAACACAAAACATCCAGGAAATTTGAGACACCATGAAAAGACCAAACCTAAGAATAACAGGGATAGAAGAAGAAGAAGAGGAAGAAGAAGAAGAAGAAGAAGAAGAAGAAGAAGAAGAAGAAGACCAACTCAAAGGCACAACAAATATATTCAACAAAATTATAGAAAAAAACTTTCACAACCTAAAGAAGGAAATGCCTATGAAGATACAAGAGGCTTACAGAATACCAAATAGACTGGATCCAAAAAAAAAGTCCCCTCACCACATAATAATCAAACCACTACACATACATAATAAACAAAAAAAAAAAATATTAAGAGCTGCAAAGGAAAAAGGCCAAGTAACCTATAAAGTCGTACCCATCAGAATAACACCTGACTTTTCAATGGATACTGAAAGCCAGAAGGTCCTGAACAGATGTTATGCAGACACAATGAGACCATGGATGGCAACCCAGACTATTATACCCAGCAAAACTCTCAATAACCATAGACGGAGTAAACCAAATATTCCACGATAAAACCAGATTTAAACAATACTTATCCACAAATTTAGCCCTACAGAAAACACTGGAAGGAAAAATCCAACCCAAGGAAGTTAGATATACCCATGAAAACACAGGCAATAGATAATCCCACACCAACAAATACCAAAAAAAGGACACACACAACACTATCACCAAAAATAACAGGAATTAACAATCATTAGTCATTAATATTCATTATAATCAATGACCTCAATTCGCCTATAAAAAGACACAGGCTAACAGAAGGGGCATGAAAATATGGTCCATCTTTCTTCTGGATACAAGAAACACACCTCAAATTCAAAGACAGACACTACCTCAGAGTAAAAGGCTGGGAAAAGACTTTCCAATCAAATGGACTTAAGAAGCAAGCCGATATAGCTATCCTAATATCTAATAAAATAGACTTCAAACTAAAATCAATTGAATGAGATTAGGAAGGACATTTCATATTTATCACAGGGAAAATCGACCAAGATGAAGTCTCACTTCTGAACATTTATACCCCAAATACAAGGCAACCACATTTGTAAAAGAAACACTACTAAAGCTTAAACTGCACATCAAACCCCACACACTAGTAGTGGGAGACAACTCCCCTCTCACCAATGGACAGGTCTGCCAGACAGAAACTTAACAAAGAAATAAGGGAACTAATACACATTATAACACAAATGAACTTAATAGATATCTACAGAACATTCCACCCTAACAAAAAAAATATATATCTTCTTCTCAGCACCCCATGGAACCCTCTCTAAAATTCTCAACAAGCAATTCTGAGCAATTCTTACCAGACACACAAAATTGCATTTTATTGGACCTGTGTTTTATTGGACCACCATAACTTAAAGTTAGATTTCAACAACAACAAAAATTACAGAAAGCCTACAATCACATGGAAACTGAATAATGGCCAACTGAATCACCAATGATTCAAAAAAGAAAAAAATTAAAGATTTCCTAGAATTCAATGAAAATGAATATACAACATACCCCAACTTATGGGACACTATGAAAGCAGTGCTAAGAGAAAATTTTATAGCACTAAATGCCCAAATAAAGATGGAAAAATCTCACACTAGTGACTTAACGGCACACCTGAAAGCTCTAGAACAAAAAAGCAAACTCACCCAGGAGGAATAGACACCAGGAAATAAACAAATGGAGGGCTGAAATTAATAAAATAGAAAGAGAACAATACAAAGAATCAATGAAAGAAAGAGTTGGTTTTTTTTGAGAAAATCAACAAAATACACAAGCCCTCTCCAAATTACCCAAAAGGCAGAGAAAGAGAGCATCCAAATAAACAAAATCAGAAATGAAAAAGGAGACATAACAACAGACAATGAGGAAATCCAGAGAATCATCAGGACATACTTCAAAAACCTGTACTCCACAAAATTGAAAAATCTGAAAGAAATGGAAATTTTTCTGGATAGGTACCACATACCAAAGTTAAATCAAGAACAGATAAACTATTTAAATAGACCAATAACCCCTAAGGAAATAGAAACAGCCATTAAAAGTCTCCCAACCAAAAAAAGCCCAGGACCAGGGGGCTTCAGGACAGAATTCTATCAATTTTTCAAAGAAGAGCTAATTCCAATACTCTTCAAATTGTTCCACGCAATAGAAATAGAAGGAACATTACCAAACTCTTTCTTACGAAGCTATACTTACCCTGATACCCAAACCACACAAAGATGCAACAAAGAAAGAGAATTACAGACCAATCTCTCTCATGAACATTGATATAAAAATACTCAATAAAATGCTGGCAAAATGAATCCAAGAATACATCAAAAACATTATCCACCATGACCAAGTAGGCTTCATCCTAGAGATGCAAGGATGGTTCAACATACTAAAGTCAGTCAATGTAATACACCATATAAACAAACTGAAAGAAAAAAAAAAAAAACATGATCATCTCATTAGATGCTGAAAAAGCCTTTAACAAAATCCAGCATTCCTTCATGATAAAGGTCCTAAAGAGATCAGGAATACAAGGAACACCCCTAATCATAATAAAGGCAATTTACAGCAAGCCAACAGCCAACATCAAAATAAATGGAGAGAAATTCAAAGCAATTCCACTAAAATCATTAACAAAACAAGGCTGTCTGCTGTCCCCATATTTATTCAATATAGTACTTGAAGTTCTAGCTAGAGCAATAAGACAACAAAAGGAGATCAAAGGGATACAAATTGGAAAGGAAGAAGTTGAAGTATTATTTGCAGATGATATGATAGTATATATAAGCTACCCCAAAAACTCTACCAGGGAATTCCTACAGCTGATAAACACCTTTAGTCAAGTGATTGGATACAAGATTAACCTAACAAAATCAATAGCCCTCCTATATACAAATGATAAACAAGCTGAGAAAGAAATTAGAGAATCAATGCCCTTTACAATAGCATTTACAAATAATATAAAATACCTTGGGGTAATGCTAACAAAGCAAGTGAAAAACCTGTATGACAAGAGTTTCAATTCTTTGAAAAAAGAAACTGAAGAAGATATTAGGAGATCTCTCATACTCAAAGATTTGTAGGATTGACATAGTAAAACTGTCATTCTTACCAAAAGCAACCTACAGATTCAATGTAATCCCCAATAAAACTCCCAACACAATTCTTTACAGACCTTGAAAAAACAATATTCAACTTCATATGGAAAAACAAAAAAACACCCAGGATAGCTAAAACAATCTTATACAATGTAAACAGAGGCAGAGTTTTTCTGTCCCAACCACCCAGTCCCCAATAAACACACAAGAGCTTATATTAATTACAAAATGCTCAGCTGATAGCTGAGACTTTTTTTTAACTAGCTGTTACATTTAAATTAACCCATTTCTATTAATCCATGTATTGCCACATGGCCCATGGCTTTACCACTCCTCTAGCTTCTTGCTTCTTGGGCATCTTGCTGGCATCTCTCTACCTTTCTTCACCCAAGTCCTTAGTTTGATTGTCCCACCTAACTTTATCCTGCTTTGCTATAGGCCAAACAGCTTTATTATTAACCAAAGAGAGTAATACATATTCACAGTGTATAGAAGGATCATTCCACAGCAAT